AGTCTGCTGAGCTATATCATTGGTCCCCTGTGTATTGTTTCAAAAAGACCATTTTAGAACTTTAGCAGCTAACTTCCTAGAAAGAATAAAAATCAAATATGGTTATACATTCATGCATTCATTCATCCATTTATTCATGACATCATTTAGTTTTGGATATGGTTCTAGTATAAAGAACCACGGCTGGCAAGATATGTCAGGGGACTAAAGTGCCTGCTTTGGCAAGCGCAGGGACCAGAGTTGATCCATGGCACTGCATGCCATGCTGACCCCATCCCCAGAGCACACTAAGCCAGAGACCAAGTCTGGGCATGGTGGTGCAAGCCTGTAATCCCAGCACTGGGGAGGCTGAAAATAGGAGGATCACTCTGAGTCTGAGCTGTGTAGTGAGACCCTGTACCAAATACATAAAAAGGAAAAAAAGAACCATGACACAGTGTAAAAAGAGCACTGTTTGGGACTTGAGAGAACTAAATTCTACATTTTAGAGGTACATGTGGAAATATTTATGAGTGAAATGATGCCAGAAGATGCAAAGTCTGAACTTTCCCAAATGATCTGTGGAGGGTATTGATCTGACTTCACTAAGACCAGCCTTGAGGAGGCCGCTGCTGAGGGTGGTGATGAGGACAGGAATTTAGTATAGTTTGTTCTCTCCTTTTGTGTAGATATAAACTTTTCCACAAGAAAAATTAAAAGAGAGGAAGGAAGGAGGACAGGCTGTAAGCTTCAGCTTTGCTCTTGTCAGCTTGGTGACCAAGGGTCAACTTTTCTCCTCTAGGATTTGCGCCTTCCCTTCTCATCACAGGGAAAGTGAAAAAGAAATGAGCTTGAGGGCAGTGAAGTTTTCAGTCTATGAAACTTTGTCATTTATCCCAACTGCACAGTGAGAAGCGGAACAGGTCTCCAAGGGCTGCCCTGGCCTATGGGTCCCATCCTGTTGGGGTGGTCCTAAGTGGCAAGGCCTGTGAGAATAGACAGTCTGGGCCCAGCCCGCCCCAGCCCCTCCACATAGTGGGGAGCTAGCTGTGCATCCCTTCCAGGATGCCTGGGCTGGAATCTCAGGAGCAGGCAAGATGGTGGCCTCCTTTGGGGACTTAATCAGATCATCTCTGGCAGAAAGCTGAACCTTACAAAGCAGCAAGGGCCATAATTAGCTCCAGGCCCAGCCCAGCAGGGAGGTCTGGAGAGAGCAGTCAGCAAGTGGCACCAAGGAAATTGCTCCTCCATAAAGTGGTTTGGCCCCAGGCTGAGAATGAGTCAGCAGTACCTGAGCTACAGCTCCTGCACTCCCCTGGTGGAGGAGGCTCACCTTTATGTGCGGCCCTGGACACCAGCTTGGCTTAACCTCTGCCTCAGTGCAAAGCCTTCTCTTCCCAGAACTTACTTTCTGAAGCTTAGCCTCACTCTATTTCTCTCTCCCCTTTTCTGGCTGCTGTGGTCCTCACTGATCTCAGGGACTCAAAAGTCTCTGGACCCACCCATTCCTCTCCAAAGGCTTGGTTCCAGACTCAAATTTCTCCAAAAGGCCCTCTGATGAATCTCAGATATTTATCATGCAAATGAGTGTTGTTGGAATTTTTAACTAAGTAACTAGCTTGTTAGCTTGGAAATTATCCATTTCAAAACTAAACAGACCAAGACATGCTTAAACCACTGCCTAAATGAAATGAAGTTAAAGATATTCCTGGGTAATTATTCAGAGTTCACGAAGGTTAAAATGAAAGGACTTGCTTTGACTTTCAGCTTTTAACTTGTAACTTTTGAGAAGATTGTTTTTTCTGGTCACTTTTTTGGTGAAGGCGTTCGCTACACACTGGGATCAAGTGTGTGTGTGTGTGTGTGTGTGTGTGTGTGTGTGTGTGTGTGTGTATGTGTGTCCTCATTCTGAGGCAGGACAGGTCTCTTGTGGAGAAGTCCTAGCCACAAGTCATGTTTTCTTTCTTTCTTTCTTTCTTTCTTTCTTTCTTTCTTTCTTTCTTTCTTTCT